TTACAAAGGACTCCAGCTGTGTGTGTGTGTGTGTGTGTGTGTGTGTGTGTGTGTGTGTGTGTGTGTGTGTGTGTGTGTGTGTGTGTGTGTGTGTGTGTGTGTGTGTGTGTGTGTGTGTGTGTGTGTGTGTGTGTGTGTGTGTGTGTGTGTGTGTGTGAGTGTGAGACACAGAGAGATGGTCAAATGGACAGACGGAGCCAGGCAGTAACTCACCCTCCTCCTCCTCCTCAGTCTTATTCATTCTCTCCCCTCCGGCGGACCCTCATCCCAAACACAGTGCAGCTGGGCTCAGCTGTCAATGTTCCCCAAACTGACCGCCCGCCCCCCCACCCACCCCCTTTTTCGGGCCCTTTTGTATTTGTTTGGATGCTGGATTTGCCCTTGGCCCCCACGCGAGGCAGCCCGATCCTGTACGCTCGCCTCTTTGAAGTATCACACAGATATACAGATTACAAGGCTTCAATGTGCTCAGTAACATGGACATGATCTCCATCTCGTTTCAAATATTTGTATTGAGAAGAAGTATACATTTGCTGCATGTATGTATATGTATTACACGCATATATATTATCATCTAACAATGTTCCTGATAAATAATCGTGTGTATGAGGCTCACTGGCAGTGAATGTAGGGGATTACTTTAGTCCTTGATATTGTTTGTTTGTGTTCTTTGTAGCCCAAAGTGCTTTACAGAAAACACAACAACAATATTAAAATAATATTAAAATAAATACAGAACAATATAAAACATCTTCAGTGATCCTAATGAAATTCCCGGGACTTAAAGGTAGGGTAGGTAAGTTTGAGAAACCGGCTCGAGATACACTTTTTGTTATATTCCATGGAATGCTCTTAACATCCCGATAGCAATGAATATCTGAAGTGCTTTGACAATAAATCCATAAAAAAATATCACCTGTGGAAGCCGTAGTACTGTAAAAAGCACGACCAATCATTTGAGCCGGCCCGGCTAAAATAACTGGATGGCCTACCTGCCTGTCAGCCTTCCATCTGTGCACAGACTTATCTCGTGCCCTCATTGGTCATGTGCGCGTTCGTGTGTGTTGGAGGAGGGGCTCTGTGAGGAAGTGGCAGATTCTTTCCGGCTGTGTATTTTCAAATTCTAGCGATCTCGAGCTGGTTTCTCCAAAATAACCTACCCCACCTTTAAAGCTGACAAGAAATGTAAATATGTTAAAATAAAACAATTTTAAAAAGGAAATAAAAAATGTAAAATTAAAGCAAAAGAGAAAAACATGGGACGTGAGAATTTAACCCAATTAAAAAGCCATATTACAAAGATAGGTTTTTAATGAGCTTTTAAACATTTCAAGGGAGTTTGCTGTTCTAAGATCCACAATGAGAACGTCCCCTCTGTGGATTCTGATCTGAAACACCTGTGATCCACACGCTGATCAGCAGCTCTTTAAAGAGTTTGCCAGCCAGTGTGTTTCTGTTCAGAAGGCAGGAGAATGAATGGAGACGTTGCTTTGTCTCCAGGGCTTTCTTTGATTATTATCAAGCCCAGAGGAGCTGCTATTCACGCCGCCATGTCGGCACGGGACTTTTGAAGTCTCAGTCAAAAGGAGGATTTGGCAGAGGGCCAGTGGAGGTTTGTCATTCACAAACTCTTCTCTTTGGGATGACAATGCTCGCAGCAGGCTGCTCCTACCTCTGTGCAGCTCCTCTTCTCCGTGAAGTGAGGAAGTTGTTCTCGGTTCACGGGACATTTTGAATGACGTCTTTCTCTTTCTGTGATCAAAGCTCCGCTAACACGATATTATGGAGTTTCTGTGCGGTGTTTATCCGCTGCTGCTGGAGAGAGTTTTCCACATTCCTCCTTAAGGGTCTGAAGGATTCCTGCGTCACATTCCTACCTCTCTCTGTGTGTGTGTGTGTGTGTGTGTGTGTGTGTGTGTGTGTGTGTGTGTGTGTGTGTGTGTGTGTGTGTGTGTGTGTGTGTGTGTGTGTGTGTGTGTGTGTGTGTGTGTGTGTGTGTGTGTGTGTGTGTGTGTGTGTGTGTGTGTGTGTGTGTGTGTGTGTGTGTGTGTGTGTGTGTTGCAGTCAGGAGGATCAAACCATTTTCTTATCATTTCTGTGCAACCTGGAAACGTCTCCTTGTTTCTTCAGGACATTTGTTTTGGTCAGATTTCCCCTCACTAATGTCAAACTGGAAATAACTAGTTTTACCTATTTTTCCTCTTTTTTGGGGGGTTTTCCCGTCCTTTTAGTGTGTTTTTGTGTGCACGTAAATGGTCTGCAAACGCTAAAATGCTTGTCTTTTTACACATCCAAGTCTCTTGGTGAATGGAGAGCGTATCAGTGACAGGAAGCCTGTGGTCTGCCTTGATGTGGAGAGGCTGAAACTGTGTGTGTGTGTAGGCCTACGAGTGTGTGTGTGTGCGTGTGTGTGTGGGCATGTTCTGACTCTGAGTGTGTTTACTTAACCTGTCTTGGCGTTCAAACCCCCCCCCCCCTCTTTCCTCTTTCCTCTTTCCTCTGTCATTCTGCGGCGTGTCTGGCTCTCTCACTGACAGCTAAACATGGCGCGCCGTCTCCTGTTTCAAACATGGAAACCCTGAAGCTTTAACCCTTCTGTCGCCTGATACGAACACACACACACACACACACACACACACACACACACACACACACACACATTTGTGGCTTTTAGATGGAATCCTCTCCTTCAAACCTCAGCGCCTGATAGGGGCAGGACCTCGCCCTCTGTATGAATGAATGTGTGTCTTTCTGATCTCTTGTTGGTCTAAACTCTGTAACCTTTCTGAAGATGTCAATCATATTCTCCCAAACGTCTGTGCAGAAGTTGCTCAGATGTTGTGTTTGGCAGTAACTCCTGCATCTACAGTATCCCTGAAAACATGTTATTAGCCGTAGAGGGGGCTACAGTATGTCACCTTCTTCTTTTGTCTTTCTTGTGGCTCGTTACCACACCATCAAAGGCATCTTAGCAACTGTGATCTCATCTCAACACGAGCATTCATCCTGTCTGACTCTCCAGCTTGTCAAAACTTGACAGAAATCTCGTCTAGGATCAGAGGGAGATGACTCTGGCCAACGGAGAGGATGAAGTCAGCGCCTCCTCAGTGTGTTAGAGCCTCTCTGGAGCTGTCAGTGAAGTGGCTGGACACAAAGGAAACAGCACCAAGCTCTAATAGTTTTAGACATGGCTGTTTGTGCTTGGTGTGGCTGGCAACACAGAGCAGACATCCAGCCACGGGAGGATGCTTCTTTTCTGCTGTGGGGATTAATAGGGATCCCTGTGTCCTGGTTTAGCTGCAGAGAGAGAGAGAGAGGGAGGAGAGAGGAGAGAGAGAGGGAGAGAGAGAGAGAGAGAGGGAGAGAGAGAGAGAGAGGGGAGAGGAGAGAGAGAGAGGGGAGAGAGAGAGGGAGGCCTGGTTTAGGTGATGGCAGCGGGACAGGAAAGAGATTCCAAGACATAATGAAGTTAGGATGTTTCTTTCTTTAGACAGGCTGTGTTTTTTGTCTGCTGGTATTTTCCAACAGAGGCTTGTGAGTCAGTACATTTAAAGAGGATGTATTGTGTTCATGTTCAGGTATTTATCAGTGTGTCGTGTCTCTACTTTAAAGAGTCCTCTCCTGCTGATGTTCAGGTGTATATCAGTATGTAGTGTCTCTACTTTAAAGAGTCCTCTCCTGCTGATGTTCAGATGTATATCAGTATGTAGTGTCTCTACTTTAAAGAGTCCTCTCCTGCTGATGTTCAGGTGTATATCAGTATGTAGTGTCTCTACTTTAAAGAGTCCTCTCCTGCTGATGTTCAGGTGTATATCAGTATGTAGTGTCTCTACTTTAAAGAGTCCTCTCCTGCTGATGTTCAGGTGTATATCAGTATGTAATGTCTCTACTTTAAAGAGTCCTCTCCTGCTGATGTTCAGGTGTATATCAGTATGTAGTGTCTCTACTTTAAAGAGTCCTCTCCATGCTTTAATGTTCAAAAAGCTCTTTATTCTTCTCATACTGCCTGTGCTGCAGCACCTCTTCTCACCTGAAACCAGAGCCCAGTCTGTTCTGAATGGTTTGCTGGTTAGCTCTGTTGTGATTGGTCAACCAGCTTAGAGATGTCCCGCCCCTTAGCCTATCACGTACAATGTGTTGGAGCGCTAGCCAATAGGAGAGCGAGTGTTACATAGTGATATGTATAATACACATGAATAGTGCGTGCAGACAACAGCAGGGTCCCAAACTGGACACCATCATATTATTATTGATGCGTACAGTCAGTACGCACAGAGATTAATCTTCTACATCAGTGGGTCAAGTGGCTGACGAACTAATCCTATTACCAGACGAGGCTCAGATTTGTTAAAGTTGCCCCTAATCTACTGTCCATTCTGACTCCAGGGAGCTAAGACCTCTGGGAAAACTGTCAGAGTGTCAGCCGTCAACAAAGTATTTTTCCTCTCAGACAGGCATTCGTTTGTAATTGAAATGTTCTTTATTTTTGTGTTTCCCCATGAATATGCTGTATTTCCATTCTTTCATTCATGGCATTTTAAACTTTTCTATTGTAGAACTGGTGATTGCAGGTTCTCCATCTGATGTAGGGGTAGAACAAATCTGGACTGGCTTTTCACACATAACAAAATACTGTCTCTTTTATAAAATGTTTGAAAAAATGCCTGAAATAAATTTTTCTGTTATTTAAAAATTGCTTTTTCAAATCACATGTTATTTAATTTATGTTTTTACTGAATAGGCTGTTCTTAAAGTTTGCCTACATTATTGAATCAATGCTATTCTTTGTATATTAATATTTAGTTTTCTACCAAATTGTGATTTTGACCACTATTCAGGTGGAGTCTCCAATAAAGTCTCCTCTCCCTGCAATGTTAAAATGCAAACCAATAAACACACTTCTCTCTCTCTCTCTCTCTCTCTCTCTATCGCTCTCTCTCTCTCTCTCTCTCTCTCTCTCTCTCTCTCTCTCTCTCTCTCTCTCTGTTTCCTCCATGCAGTGTCATCATGCATCACCACCTACAAGAAGACGCCCCCCCCCGGTTGCCCCCCGCACCACCCCGTCCAAACCCTTCATCTCCATCACGGCTCAGAGCAGCACCGAGTCGGCCCAGGACGCCTACATGGACTCGGGCCCTCGCTCGGGCATCAGCTCCCAGCCGGGCCTCTCCAACTCCACGGAGAGCATCGACTCCATGAAGGCGCTGACGGCGGCCATCGAGGCGGCCAACGCTCAGGTGCACGGCCCCGCCAGCCAGCACGTCTCCAACAGCACCATCACCATCACATCAACATCAACATCAACATCCACCGGAGACAGCAAGGCGCAGAGGGAGGCGCTCCGCAAGTGCCTCTCCATCGGGATCCAGGTTCGTGCACCAGGCGGGGTTTCCTTTTTTTGTTTTAGTTACTTTATTAAGGAGTGCAGATTGAACAGACAATACAACAACTTTTGTTACATATAAGAGAACAAAGAGAATCACAAGAACTGGAAAATTGGTCACAGCATTGCATCGCTTACACATCCTGATACATTTCACACAACATCAAAAATAATAATAATAATGAATTAAAAACATGAAAAATTAAGATTTAATACAAAATTAATTTAAAAAAATAATAACTAGATGGGGGTTATATAAACGTAGTCACGGGGTAGGACTTTCAATGAATTAATATATGATCTAAAGGGCTGCCATTTCTCATAAAACGTCTCTGGGTTTCAGGCGGGGGTTCTGCTCTGAAATATAACTAGTTTAAACTTAAGATAGTTCTGACAGTTTCTCTCCCTCCTCCGCTCAGGTGGACCCGGAGGAAGAAGAAGAGCCGACGGAGGAACCGTCGAAGTTCCAGTCGATAGGAATCCAGGTGGAGGATGAGCGATGGTGAGTAGAGAGGAAGAGGAGGAAGGGTGTCAAAGTGAAACTAGGATGGAAGGGAGGAGGCAGAGATCTGGGTTTCTCTCGTCTCTAGATGATCAGGACAAAAAGAGAGAGAATCTTTTTTCCTGAGAACACATGTTGATGTAGAAGAGACATGAAGAAGAGGGGACACATGTTGATGTAGAAGAGACATGAAGAAGAGGGGACACATGTTGATGTAGAAGAGACATGAAGAAGAGGGGACACATGTTGATGTAGAAGAGACATGAAGAAGAGGGGACACATGTTGATGTAGAAGAGACATGAAGAAGAGGGGACACGTGTTGATGTAGAAGAGACATGAAGAAGAGGGGGACACATGTTGATGTAGAAGAGACATGGAGAAGAGGGGGACACATGTTGATGTAGAAGAGACATGAAGAAGAGGGGACACATGTTGATGTAGAAGAGACATGGAGAAGAGGGGGACACATGTTGATGTAGGAGAGACATGAAGAAGAGGGGACACATGTTGATGTAGAAGAGACATGAAGAAGTGGATTTTGCATAATAGGTGACCGAGGATAGAAGCTGTTTTTGGACAATTCAACCACAACCATGGACTTGTGGAGACAGAGGGAGGTGTGTAGTGTGTAGTGTGTAGTGTGTAGTGTGTAGTTCACTGGCTTCCCTGTAGCAGCTGGGCCCAGTTCATGGTAGTTTTTGGCATCAGAGACCCCCCCAAAAAGGGGCCCCAAGTGACAGCTGGGCCCAGAGGATGTGGTGCTGGGTTTTGGGAGGGGGGGGGAGGGGTTTTGGGGTGAGATGACAGCCATCTGTTGCTGCAGTCATTGTGATTCAGACTGTTTGTGTGTGGGAGAGAAAAGGGAGGGAGTTTTATAGGGTTTGTTTAGCTCTGCTGTGCTGTCAGATACTCTCTCTCTCTCTCTCTCTCTCTCTCTCTCTCTCTCTCTCTCTCTCTCTCTCTCTGCAGTCTACTCAGATCTTGTACTTGAGTAAAAATAGAAGTACTCAGATCTTGTACTTGAGTCAAAGTAGAAGTACTCAGATCTTGTACTTGAGTAAAAGTAGAAGTACCAGAGTGTAGGAATACTCTGTTACAGTAAAAGTCCTGCATTCAAAATGTTCCTCAAGTAAAAGTAGAAAAGTATTATCATCAAAATATAGTGAAAGTAGCGACAGTAAAAGTAGTCATTGTGCAGATTGGTCCATTTCAGAATAATATATATGATATGTTTTATAATGATTGATCATGAAAGTGTTCTCAAAGCTGGTAAAGGTGCAGCTAGTTTGAATGACTTTGTATACTGCAGGGTAGCTTGTGGATTTACTCCAGGTGGAACTAAAGTCTGATTTAAACTAAAGGTATTAAATACATGCAGTGGAGCCTCTGCTGGGACTCACAGGCTTTTCTGGTTTCTCTCTTTGTCCTCTTTGGTTTTCCTCGGTGAAAACACTGCCCTTCTGTTCTCTGAGGACACATTTAGCCGCCGTGCTGCTGCTGCTGGTTTTCCCGCTGCAGCCGAGGCATGCTACGGGAATTCAGAGAGACATCACCTTTAATCAAAGGTCACAGTGAGGGCTGAGTCCAAAACACACTCACACTGTGTCAGGGAATGTGAGGGGCTTTCTGAAAGGGGGCGGTCTCAGCTGACTGACCAAGCTCTGAGTTCCCCGAGCTGCCAAGTCAAATATTAACTCCCGCAGACACCTTAGATCCTGCAGAGGCTCCATGTTGTGCAGCCGGAGCGTTCCCTGGTTAATGTTTGGCAGTCGGGGGGGATTTGTTGTTTGTGTGTGTGTGTGTGTGTGTGTGTGTGTGTGTGTGTGTGTACCTCTCTGGTTAGTGATGTGTGTGTGTGTGTGTGTACCTCTCTCTGGTTAGTGATGTGTGTGTGTGTGTGTGTGTGTGTGTGTGTGTGTGTGTGTGTGTGTGTGTGTGTGTGTGGTGTGTGTGTGTGTGGTGTGTGTGTGTGGTGTGTGTGGTGTGTGTGTGTGTGTGTGTGTGTGTGTGTGTGTGTGTGTGTGTGTGTGTACTTGGGAGGTCTACATTAGATTCCCAGACAGTGAGAGTGCCAAGCTCCAGAAGTGTGTGTGTGTGTGTGTGTGTGTGTGTGTGTGTGTGTGTGTGTGTGTGTGTGTGTGTGTGTGTGTGTGTGTGTGTGTGTGTGTGTGTGTGTGTGTGTGTGTTGTGTGTGTGTGTGTGTGTGCTGTGTGTGTGTGTGTGTGTTTATATGCTGCAGGTCATAACCTCACCTCGCTGTTTGAACTATGAGAGAGAGAGAGTGGAAGAGAGCCGTAAAATAAAAGGACAACACAGCAACATGCTTGTCTTTACACAGATTTGTTGGGAGATTAAAACTAATTTAATGCCAACTTTTAAAGACTTTACAAAGATCCAGTCTAGTAACATCTTGAAAAAACGGATATGGATGCAAAAAATATACTGTGAGGTTAAGATTTGGTGGAATTTAATGGCTTAATTTCACTTTTTGCGTCTTACAAGTTTATTTGATGGTGGTCAGGAGATGGCTTTGCAGACACAGAGGGAAGTGGGGCATTGCTCATCATCTTAGCCACTAAACCATATTCACGGCCATCTTGAAAAGTAAAGGACAGCTCAGACCTCCCTGTCTTTTTATTTGTGTCCCGCCCTACTGAGGGTTTGTCATTACCGGGAAAAGACAAACAAACAAGAGTCCTCAGCGAACTTTAAATGTCACAGTAATAGTTCATGCTCTGTTGTTTTCTGCCCTCCAACTATCACTGGACAACTTTTCATATCTAAATAAGACGCCAGGCTGCTTATATGTTTATGGACGCATCAGTATGTCCTTGTGTTTTTAATTTGAGCCATTTTCAGTGCAAAAAATAGGAACATTTCTATAATTTATTTTGTAGAAACCTCTTTGATTTACAACTTTCTGTTCCGTCACACACCCCTCTGAATATTTTCTTGATAACACAACCTCTGGAGTGGCCAAAATCCCCAAAAGTTTGTGTTGTAACTCGATACCTCAAAAGTTATTGTTCTTGGCCACATGTAGAGCTTGGGGCTGGGAAGCAGTGTAAAAAATCCACTGGACGTTTCAGTTGCTTTTCAACGTTTATTTCCAGCAAACAAAATACGAAAACAATATTTAACATAAACTTAAACAGCAGATCCTAATAATCCGTCTTTTACTAAACATAAGGTTGCGTCTGCGTGTCAATGACGGTATTGCTGCTGCCCTGCCGTCACACACCTGCACCTCCAACTTAAAGCGTTAGCCCCGCCCCCTTCACCTGAGCAAAGCGCACCTCTCACTCAAACAGAAAAATGCATTAATAAAGGTTCCAAATAAATCTAAATAAACTTAAATTTGGCTCCAACAACCTCTTTTAAAATCTGCACAGCACTTTACCATTTAATTCACTGTATTATTTCACATTTTCCTTGTAATTAGTATATTTTTATGTTCAATTCTTTCCTTTTAGATTATTCTTTTTAAATTAAAAGTTGTATTTTTGCTCCTTTTCTTACAACGTATTGCCTCAAAGCTGCTGTCGTTTTCTTTTACTGTTCCACTAAAGCAATAAACCTGCTTCTGATTAACTGTCTCTCCTAGATAGTAGTCGTTCCCCACTAACCACACCTCCTCGTTCTCCTCGTGTTGATATGTCTCGTCTCTGTCTGCTTTGTTTGGCCTTGCCCCTGCAGGAAGTTGTTAGCCGGCTGATAGAGAGGCAGGCTGAGGTCATTAGAACTGAACACCTGCACGGAGGAGTTACTGTTTAACTGTTCTTCACACACACTCACACACACACACACACACACACACACACACACACACACACACACACACGCTCGCACTGCGTTTGATCTAGCCACTCCCTTTGCTCCCTCTGCGGTCTGCTTTTCTGTTCGGGGAAGATGAATGAGAAACGGGGAGTTAGAGATGAATGGCTGTAGCTTGGAGGAGGAGGAGGAGTGTTTGCTGGAGACGTGATCAGATGTGTGTGTCGCGCTGCAGGCAGGTGTGTGTGTGTGTGTGTGTGTGTGTGTGTGTGTGTGTGTGTGTGTGTGTGTGTGTGTGTGTGTGTGTGTGTGTGTGTGTGTGTGTGTGTGTGTGTGTGTGTGTGTGTGTGTGTGTGTGTGTGTGTGTGTGTGTGTGTGTGTGTGTGTGTGTGTGTGTGTGTGTGTGTGTGTGTGTGTGTAGTGTCTCTACTTTAAAGAGTTCTCTCCTGCTGATGTTCAGGTGTATATCAGTATGTAGTGTCTCTACCGTAAATCACGTACAATGTGTTGAAGCGCTAGCCAATAGCAGCGCGAGTGACACATAGTGATGTCAACATGTTCCAGAACACAAACCTATAAAACTACAGGGAAGGGAAAACCCCCCAAAGCATCATATGGCGTCTTTAAAGTTTGCCATGAGGACAGTGAGTAGCGTGCTCTTTCTCTTGTATCACTTTGTATCTTTGTAACCCCCCGTTATAAATGCTTATCTGACTCTAGCTCTTTCTATGAGTTCATAAAATATGAACCACTCTGAGTTGTGATCTTGCAGCGATTAGACTGCTGGCAAGTTTTTTCATTTTCCTCTGGCTTCCCATTCATTACTGGGATGGAGAGCTGCTCCACAGCCAAATGTGTTTGTGTGTAGATGTAATCTTTGCACATGAGTGTGTGTGTGTATACTGTGTGTGTGTGTGTGTGTGTGTGTGTGTGTGTGTGTGTGTGTGTGTGTGTGTGTGTCTGCTGTGTGTGTGTGTGTATGCTGTGTGTGTGTGTGTGTATGCTGTGTGTGTGTGTATGCTGTGTGTGTGTGTGTATGCTGTGTGTGTGTGTGTATGCTGTGTGTGTGTGTGTGTGTATGCTGTGTGTGTGTGTGTATGCTGTGTGTGTGTGTGTGTGTGTGTATGCTGTGTGTGTGTGTGTCTGCTGTGTGTGTGTGTGTTGTGGCACATAGTGCAGCCGGACTTGGCAACGTCAAGCGGCACAGAGCCTCTGAGCCAAATACGACACGACACACCCAGCTGTACTCAGGGGTCGTGTGTGTGTGTGTGTGTGTGTGTGTGTGTGTGTGTGTGTGTGTGTGTGTGTGTGTGTGTGTGTGTGTGTGTGTGTGTGTGTGTGTGTGTGTGTGTGCATCAGCTGGTGGTGTGACAGGCGGCTGCACACTCTGTTGCTTCTGAATGAGCCAGGTGACAAAACATAAACACACACACACACACACAAAAGGCGTTTCACACTACAAGAGCTATTCACCGCTATTTAAAATGTTCTCACACTGGGATCTCCAAGAACTGTGTTTATCACAATATTATCATATGAACTACTAGTGGTGGAAAGTAACTAAGTATATTTACTCAAGTACTGCACTTAAATATAATTTGAAGGTACTTAAAGGAGAGGGAAAACCCTGGAAAGCATAACAGGGCCTCTTTTAAATCTTCTCTGTTTCCTCCCTAGTTACCGCAGGATGACCCGCTCTAACAGCGTCACCACGGCGGTTCAGGCGGACCTCGACGCCCCCTCGGACCCCCCGGAGCTCCCATCCCCCCGACACTGTGCCACCATGCCTCGAGAACACTCCCGAGACACCAACTCCTCTTCCTCCACCGTCAGCATCCAGGGCTCGGGGAACCACTACCACGCCTGTGCCGCCGACGACTACGGAGAGGTGGGCTTCGACCCGTCCATCCTGCCGCCGCCGGACCCCTGGATGGACAGCGTGGAGCCGGGGGACGGGGGGGAAACTTCGGCGGGAACTACTTGCGAGAACGTGGGGAGGTCCGTGGGGAGGTCCGTGTGTCCTCGTGACGGACGGTGGTTCCTGAAGCTGCTGCAGGCCGAGGTGGAGCGGATGGAGGGGTGGTGTCGACAGATGGAGCTGGACGAGAGGGAGAACGAGCTGCCGGACGACAGTGAGTCCAGTCAGGGAGGAGGAAAGAGTGTTTAGTCAAAGTCACCGTTATTGTCAATATTTCAGTTTGTAGTGTGTGTTCAGACAGAGAGATCGGAATGCCGTTTCCCACAATCCGACAGACACAATATATACAAAATAACAGTTACTTCAATATCTTTGGGAAATGTACATTAGTGCAAGATTGTCCATTTAACTACGTGTAATAAGATAAGATAAGATATGACTTTATTTATCCCGAAGGAAATGTGCCAGAGTTACGATAAAACATATGAAAACATATTTCAATAATGAAACTGTTCACTGAACACCGATATTAGGTCAATTTGTCCTCCTCTCCTCAGGCTTTGAGGGTTCTGGTATCCCTGGTATTGGACCACAATAGCTGCTTGTTCTCTCTCAGGCTCTCTGGCCTCCACAGACATACCGTGCATATTATCAATAACCACATCTGTCCTTTAGACACACTGGATAATGAACCCTCACACTCACACACTGAAGGGGTTTCTCTCGGTGCTCGCTACTTGATCTTGACGTAACACACACACACATACACACACGTCTGTTTACACACAGCTAAATATGTTTTCAAGACTGAGCAAACAGGCCTCAGGCAGACTGTATCTCTACCTGTCCTCACTGCGACTCACACAGAGTGTCATTGCGTATGCAGCTAGTGTACTGTTATGGTTACAGGCAAGATTATTCTCTCTCAGGACGAGCTGAGCAGGGAGGCTGTCTCAAGGTTATGTTTTCCTACATCCCACGCTTTCATGTGCACACACACACACACACACACACACACACACACACACACACACACACCCGGGAGCTGAAGACATTGTATCTGATTCATTATTCCTCTCGCTGTTTCGGATCCTATTTTCTTCATGTAGACTAATGCGTGCACCGACAGGCCCTCTCCACCGGGATGAGAGAGTCAATGGGACTGACACTGGAGTCGGGTTATGCAGCACAACCTTGTTTATCTCATATATCAGTCTGACATCAGGCATTGTGAGGGGAAAGGCATTATTATTAGGAGCAGAAGCTTGATTTGTACGTCTCTGTTATGCAGGACAGCACTTTTTTCTCTGTGTGCTGTATATGTGGCATGTGTATGTTTATTTAGAATTGCTATGATTGCATTTATTTGGATTTTAAATGTCATTATTTATTACAATACTCGAGGCACAGATGTAGCGTATCCCTTCGCCACAAATGCACCTCTCTGTTCGCACTGCAACATGCCTGCAGTATGCGGCTCTCTGAGTAATTGCATTGTGTCTGGTGTGTGTGTTGTGTGTGTGTGTGTGTGTGTGTGTGTGTGTGTGTGTGTGTGTGTGTGTGTGTGTGTGTGTGTGTGTGTGTGTGTGTGTGTGTGTGTGTGTGTGTGTGTGTGTGTGTGTGTGTGTGTGTGTGTGTGTGTGTGTGTGTTGTGTGTGTGTTTCTGCAGTCATGGGGAAGATCCGCAGTGCAGTGGGGAGTGCCCAGCTGCTGATGGCCCAGAAGTTCCAGCAGTTCCGGGAGCTGTGTGAAGAGAATCTGGTATGTGTCACCTCATCCTCTGCATGCTTCCCCGTCCGTCTACCCCCCCCCCCCCCCCCCCCCCCACACACACACACACACACACACACACACACACTGACATCATCCTGCACAAATCATCGTGACAGGCCTGCGCTCATTTGCTATGCATCCAGTGTAGAGCGTGCACAGCCTCTCTCTCTCAGAGGAGAGAACGTGCTGATCAGCAACAAGAGGATGTATTAACATGCTAATTTCACTATTGCTGCAAAAATGCACAATTTTGTCGTTTCCGTTAAATATTATAATTGTATTGCAGAACATTTCATTTAGCTGATGCTTGTTTTCCAAAGCGACTTCCAATAAGTGCAATAAACTACAACAAAATAGAGGCAGAAAGTACTAATGTGAACCTGAAGATTTGCATAATAGGGCCTATTTAATAAGAATGTGTTGAAGCAGCATTAACAAAACCAGGCATTGCACATAATAACTATTTAAAGAGTGCATTGTTATTTATCTATATATATAAAAAGCTGTCATTTGTATTCCTAATGACGTGCACCTTTTATGCATTTGTCTCACTTAAAGGCTAATTCTGCAACTTTTGGTAAAAATCAAATCATCAAATTTGCAATGATGAGATGTATTTAGATGCAGATTGTAATATTGTTCCAAAAATACACTTGTATTTTATCGTTTCCGTTAAATATTATAATTACATTTCATTTAGCTGATGCTTTTTTTCCAAAGTGACTTACAATAAGTGCAATAAAACATTACCATATTTACTCAGAACAACAAAATAGAGGCACAAAATACTAATATGAACCTGAACATTTGCATAATAGGGCCTATTTAATTAAAATATGCATAACGGTGGATACATGGATTGTTCTTAATATATTTAAAGTGTTTAAGTCATTTTTTGGAAAGGAAAAACTGATATGTTTTGGTCTAACTAAGGTGGATAGATCCATGCTTACTACTACTACTACTACTAATACAATATATTTACACTATAGTGCGTTATTTACATTTTTTTAAAAGCTGTCATTCCCATAAAAAATGACTTGCATCTGTATATGCATTTCACTCACTAAAAGGCCAATTCTGCAACTTTTGGTAAAATCAAGGTGTGTGGCGCAGTGGGTGGAGGGTTGGTGTTTGGATCAGGGGGTCACAGGTTCAAACCCCACTGCAGTCAGCATGTCGTTGTGTCCCTGAGACACTTCACCCCAAATTGCTCCTGTGAGGATTGCCCACAGTATTGAGTATGTAAGTCGCTTTGGATAAAAGCGTCTAACAAGTAATGTAATGTAATGTAATCAAATCATCACAAGTCCTCTTTCAAAACATGTGTGATAGGCATGTAAACAATGTGCGTTTGTGATCATGTGACCTGTGTGTTTACATGTATTTGTTACGCCTCAGAACCCAGACGCACACCCCCGCCCCGGCTCTCAGGACCTGGCAGGGTTCTGGGACATGCTGCAGCTCTCCATCGAGAACATCAGCCTGAAGTTTGACGAGCTGCACCAACTCAGAGCCAACAGCTGGAGACCTCTGAGCCCTCCAGACATTCAGGTGCCCACTCACACACGCACGTTCAAAAACATAACCTCATTGTTGTAACGGCAAATACATTTGTTTATTTGCTTCTTGATAAAAGCTAAGGGTAAAATGTTTGTAATTTATTTTGAAGTGTAAGTAAGTGTCCTGCTCCCTCTCCTTCCTGTTATGATTTGAAATATGTCGAGTGCAATTTCCCCATCTTCTACCGTTCTTGTTGGAAACTGTTATATTAATATAAAGCAGGGGTGTCCAAACTACGGCCCGGGGGCCAAATGCGGCCCGCGGGTCATTTTGAAGCAAATTAAAAAAGTATAATGGAGTACGGCCCACAAATGAAACTTGTATTGTACTTCTTAAATATATATGAAAACACATATTACACAGTAGTATTCATGTGTTAATGAGACCACTTTTCAAATAAATTCAGTCAATTAAAGTTGGAAACATTTTCTAACATATCTTAGTTGATAAGAAAAAAGCCCAATGACTTATTTACATAACAAGCTTGAAATACACCCTTCATATTTCTCCTTATCAATCTGAGGCTTCTGTTTTAAGGGATGAGCTGCCTACACTCACAAGCATCATGTACCTACATTTGATTGATTTTGCTAACTTATAACTTAACTTATGAGGCGATAAACCTCAGACCAGACCTTCGTATATTTTTCTGTATGTGGCCCTCGGTGAAAAAAGTTTGGACACCTCTGATATAAAGAAAACGCGTTCAGTTTGGACAAGACTCGAAGCTTCTATTACACGACACTAATCTCATTATGGGATGCTTTACTAACCCCGCATGTAATCTGCTGTCGTTACTTTACACTGTAAAAGATTCTCAGCTAGCATGCAGATGTTGTGCCGTTGCCTGCCTGACGTCACCACTGTGTCTGTGTTTGTTGTCGACAGTGAGCTGCTTTTGAGAACCTCTCATCCTGCCATGCACCGTTGGGGCCTCTCCGTCTCCAATGGTCACTTTTACCTCACGCTTTGGCCACCGCCGTGCTCTCTTACCCACACAAATGGCTGCCACTGTGAACGTTAACCTCATTCAAATGCATGCATGCTGCCGGCTGCTGCTCTCTCTCTCTCTCTCTCTCTCTCTCTCTCTCTCTCTCTCTCTCTCTCTCTCTCTCTAACCCAAAGCACTGTGTTTACCAGAGGTGCAAAGTAACTAAGTACATTTACTCAAGAGGTACTGCATTTGAGTTTCAATTTTTTCCTACTTTCTACTTCTACTCCACTTCAGTTCAGAGGTAAATGGTGTACTTTGACTCCACTACATGTATTTATCACCTTTAGTTACTTAACAGATGTGGATGAATGATGTGAAATATAATCAAGTGTTAAATCAGACTTTAGTTCCACCTTGAGTAAATCCACAAGCTACCCTGCAGTATACAAAGTCATTCAAACTAGCTGCACCTTTACCAGCTTTGAGAACACTTTAATGATCAATCATTATAAAACATATCATATATATTATTCTGAAATGGACCAATCTGCACAATGACTACTTTCACTGTCGCTACTTTCACTATATTTTGATGATAATACTTTTCTACTTTTACTTGAGGAACATTTTGAATGCAGGACTTTTACTGTAACAGAGTATTCCTACACTCTGGTACTTCTACTTTTACTCAAGTACAAGATCTGAGTACTTATACTTTTACTCAAGTACAAGATCTGAGTACTTCTACTTTCACTCAAGTACAAGATCTGAGTACTTCTACTTTTACTCAAGTACAAGATCTGAGTACTTCTACTTTTACTCAAGTACAAGATCTGAGTACTTCTACTTTTACTCAAGTACAATAACTTAGTACTTATACTTTTACTCAAGTACAATAACTGAGTACTTCTACTTTTACTTAAGTACAAGATCTGAGTACTTCTACTTGTACTCAAGTACAAGATCTGAGTACTTCTACTTTTACTCACTATCATTTTGAATGCAGGACTTTTACTTGTAACAGAGTATTCCTCCACACTTCTCCTCTTACTGAAGCACAAGATCTGAGTACTTCCACCCCGTCTGGTCATTAAGAGTTTGTCCTCCCATGTCCAGGAGAGAAGGATCCCCCCTCCCGTGCCAAAGAAGCCCCAGAAGGGCCACCCCCCCCTGGCTAGAGACCGCTCTCTGGAGAGCTCTGAGCGCCAGCGTGTGGAGGCCAGAAAGCGCCTGCTAGCTGCCAAACGAGCGGCGTCCGTGCGGCAGAGCTCGGCCACGGAGAGCGCCGACAGCATCGAGATCTATATCCCAGAGGCTCAGACCAGACTATGAGACTCTCAGATGCATGTCCTCACACACATGCCCTACACACTGTCCCTATAGCACCCAACGGTAACGCTAACATAACCACGTTTTGTGCGGACTTCCCAAAATCACTGTGGGCTCAGTCTGGATGAAGAAATGTATATTTACAGTATTTAATTTATTTATTTATCTATCTCCCCTCCCCTCCCCTCATTTCCTCCTCCCAGCTTTGATGTAGCAGTCCCTCCTCTTCCTCTCCCTCCTCCTCTTTCCCTCGCTGTCAAAATCTTATAAATCCCTTTTTTGAAGTGGCCTAACACGACAGAGAAAGCCAGGTGTAGCACAGCTTCATGTTGTTATGTTTCAGGTGGGCAGCGTGCAAGTGGAGTGTGTGTGTGTGTGTGTATGTAAACATGCCATCACACACACAAACACAACGAGTGATCAAATCAAACAAAAAAACACCTATTGACTTATTTATTGTTTATATCTGTTTAAAATTCCTTAAGGTAATTCTGAATAAATACGATTACATTACAAAATCAGCGTGTAAAACAGACTTCAGCCAATCGGGACGAGTTATGAACTACGGAAGAGAATTAGGGCAACAAAAAAAAGTCAGAATTCTGAAAACTAATTTGAACATCTTTCTGTTTTTGGAAAATCTCAGTATTCAGACTTTTTCCCCAGAATTCAGACTTTTTTCTCAAAATTCTGACTTTTTTCTCAAAATTCCAATTATTTTTCGCATAATTCCAACTTTTTTTCTCAGAATTCCAACTTTTTTCGGTACTAGGTAAAATTTTCCATATTTATAGGTAAAAAAACTCAATTTACCTCCTAACCCACTGCTCTGGCTTCGTAGCACCCCCCTCAGTAAAGGTACCTTCAGTGTTAGTGAGCGAAACAATCGGCCCTCTGTCTTGAAACAGGTTTTTCCAGCAGCCAGAGTCATAAGGTCATAAGGTCAACAGGTCATCCTGCGCTCCTCAAGGTGAGGCGGAGCTGTTTTTGAGTCAGGAGCTGATTTTAAGCCGAGTGCCACGAACATAATCTGTGTGTGTGTGTGAGTGATAACAAGAGAGTGTGTGTGTGTGATTCATTTGGAAAGGGCTTCCTCTTCTCTAGGTCAGAAGATTAAGGTAGCAGAATCAACTAACTGGAAACACCGCCCATCATTCACACTGAGCAACAACATACGAATATAACACACGCATGATGACACTTATATTATTTTATAGACAGGTTTAATCCTTCTCTCATATTGCATTTAAATTATTCTGACTACTGCTTCAATACTGGTAGGTTTGCTCTGTTTTATTAGAGGTTTTTGGACAGTTTTGAGACTAAAGGACAGTTTCCTCCTCACTGTGTTCACCTCCAAACCAAGCAATTATCAGACAAAAGATATCCGATTTGTAATATTTTGTATTTGTGTTTTAATTTATTATTTCGGGAAAACAATGACTGTTTAAAGACATTGTGGTTATTATGATAATGCACTGACGACAAGGCCCTCATACTGTGTTTTTATTTATTCTGCAGCATGTCTTTTCTGTTCCAGTGATCAGCCTTAATTTCTAATATGATAGTCGAGCACAACAGCAGTCTCAGGGGAAGATGTGTGTGTGAGTGTGTGTGTGTGTGTGAGTGTGTGACCCATGGCTTACTGTATATAACCCCTGTCACCAGAATAGGCCATGATCTTTTAAAGAAAAGCACCCATGCCATCTTTTTAATGAACATCTCAGCCCTTATCGAGCGGTGCAGTGATGACGGATTCCTGAAGCTAGCATCACAACGGGATCTTACCATTGGATTTCAGTATATCGCAGGAATTAGCCACACGTTTACGATACTTTCACGTTTTGTTCAGCAGGATAATCTCCACATATTAACACGTTGTGATATTTAAAGTGTTAATTGCTATCGCCAGAAGTATAAAAGCTAACGCTAGGCTATAAACAAACTACATCACGGTCGCACGGCTGCACACCGCTAAGCTAAAAGCGGCTAATGTTTGTTAGCAACCGCCATTCTTACATTTTGAGTATTTACTGACGTAGGAGAACAAAACGTGAAAGTGTCTAAAACTTGTGGTCTGAAACTGCAGTTTGGATGTTTTTGGCACCTATGGGCCACCGTACAAAAACCACTGACTTCAAAAGAAGCAAAGTGGTAAAATGCTAAGTAATTCCTGGGTTTTCGGACTCATTCCTGCACCACTCAATCACTACTCATGTATGTAACAAGGTATTTCTGTCAGCTGCTTGAATGTGGAGACAATCCTGAGCCAGTTTACCCCCACATTATTGTTTTTAAAAACAGAAATGCAGGACGTTGGTGTGAAGTCCAATCCTCTGTTTTGATCTGGGAAGAGTTTTGTGCCATTTGGATAATTCTAGGTACGGATATATATTCCTGTCCTTATTTAACGGCTTCCTGATTGAGCGGCGTTTGTGAAGGAACTCAAGTGATGAAGTGTGGTATAATTTGTATTTCCTTTAGTTAAGTATAGAGAGGATGCATAATTAATAGATCAAACCTAATGCCATTTTATGTAGACGAAGCTCATTTGAGTATTTTTTTACTTGTATTTGAATATGTCTGTCAAAAGGGTTGACTTCTTATTTATGTTTATTATATTAACATATCAATATAACACTCCTGGTATAGCAGGGAGGTAGAATGTTGGACACGCCAGCACCCCTGAAGCTTGTGATGTAGTTAAAGATTAAACATTTGTACATAAATGAATGTTTCCCTATGTAAACTAAAAAAAAAATATATGAATATTAAGCAGATATACATTTTGTATTTACACTGTTGATGTTATGGCACGTGTATGAGCTCTTATCAGCATTAAAACAAATATATCATTGCCAGAACTTTGTCTTTCTTTCTCTGGGTGTTTCTCAATGTCGAGGACGCTTCCTTGGTAGGACATGTCCCTCCGAGTCAGGTCCTTCAGAGTCAGGCAAGAATCCTTCCTTTCATTCAGGTGTGCGTCATATGCGAGGCCCCGCCTTAAATCTTCCGCCAAAGATTTTGGAAATTGGTCCGTGCGCAAAGCATTGTGGGGATTTTAAGACCGCGGAGGATACATCCTCGATATTTCCCGCAACGAAGGTTTCAGTCCTCGGTAGAATTACAAGCATCCTGGACATTGGAACAGTCCTTCGGCGGGATTCGATGACGTAGCAATCCTTGAAATAGTGGCTCTGGAGGATCCTTCCTCGACTTTGAGAAACACCCTCTGTCTCCCCATTTGTAGACCCTGTGTCGACCTTTAACCTCAGAATTTGGGCTTTTTAAACTAATGGTCAGATGTCAAAATGTTTACACGTGGCCATAATGCTCTTCCATAATAAACAAGTGCTCTAATGCCATGCATGCAGAATGTATGCCAGTTGATAAAGTCTTCCCTTAGCTGAGAGTCTACCACTCATAGACTATAAAGCAGGGGGGTCAAACTCAAATACACAGTGGGCCAAAATAAAAAAATGGGTACTAGTCGAGGGCCGGACTGGTTCAATGTTTATTGCAGAACTTATTGAAATGAACTTATTGCACATATTAAACCTGGAACTAACAAAGCTTAAATGATTGCCTATAAAAACAACATTAAATAATCAGTTGCATTCATTTCTTATGGCTCCATCTGCAGCTTCTCCTGAGTCATTTCTTATGATCACATTTTCCCACAGGCCAACAACAGCTTCAACAAAACTATTTCCCTCAAAGAACAAACCAAACATGCCCTGTTGTCGTGAGAAAGAAAGTGCAGAAGGAAACATCCATGTAAACTCAGTGTGCTGCTCTGTGATGCTAGTTCAAGCCAGATACTTGGCATCTCATCTTGGGTGCAAGGTCATCAATGTTTGGGGTTAGGGTCTGAGCGGAGGAAACCCTCAGGATGGAGTGAAGGTGTGCGTGCAATATACCGGAGGGCCAGATCTAATAGTAATTAGAAATGATCCTGCGGGCCAAAATTAAATCCACCAAGGGCCTGATTTGGCCCCCGGGCCTTGAGTTTGACACATGTGCTATAAAGGCATTCTATATTCAAAGGAACTAGTTAAAGAACAGCATTTATTTGCTGATTTCAAGCCTACACTTTTGATGTTATGACACGTGTATGAGCTCCTATCACATTGGACAAAATGCTGCTCCAAAAACAAGTAAAAAATAATATTAAAACAAGATGTTTTGGCTGGTAATAAGTCAAATAATCTGCCAATAGATCAAGTGAAAATGTGCTTGGTAAGATTTTGTGAACTAAAATGGGATGTCTAGATAAATCAGAACTTGGGAAATCTTATTTTGAACTATATTTTACCATAAAAATAAGTCTTAAATGCTTAAAGGTTTTTCTGATGTTAGTTGGTGAGTTTCCAAATGAAATGTAACAGAAAACTTGTTTCATCTGAGATCCAACTCAGAAGAGTTTTTACTTAACATAAGATGGATTGTCTAAAAACAAGACCCTACATCTCACTGCTACTTCTTAAGTTATTATGTCTTATATCAAGTGTAAAGACGATATTAGGCAAACAAACTTGGCACGATTTAAACGTTTTTGTAGTGAAACAAACATATCTTTGCCAGAATGTTGTCTTTCTTCCCTTGTCTCCACATGTGTTTCCAATTGGAATATAATTAAGCAGATTACAAGGCCAGCCTGGTGTGTTTTCAGGGCTTTTCCCTCTTCCGCAGGGGCGGGACCCCGTAATTATGCATCTCTTCTGGCCTTGGTTTAGCCCGACGCTGCTGTACGTGCAGCTCCTGGTGATTCGTCACTCACACATCAGTCGGGGAGGATGACCTCAGCGACCAGAGTTCAGGAGGAGGAGGAGGAGGGGGGGGGGGGGGGGTCTGCGGAAATGTGTCTTTGTATAAAGTCTGACTCAGGGCCACCATGGTGGGCTTCAAATGCCCACTGAGTGCCTGGAGCTCTGTTCAAACCCTGATTAGAGTCCCAGAGACTTGACCTAACCTCTAACGGCCCACAAAAGGTGGAGGAGTGGAGAAGCATCTGAGTAAAAGTAAGTATTTAGGCCATGTTGGAAGAAGTACTCCCTTTACTTAAGTTAAAGTACAAATACTAAGTCCTGATCACTCCCTAATGTTTGTATTGTTCGTATTTTTTACTGTTTTTATGGCATTTCGGACAGACAAACTTAAGATGTACAATTACTATGTCTTGAAAAAACACTTATTGTTTGCTACCAAATGTTAATACAAAATATATTACACACAAAGAAGTAATACAGTACAAATACTATGGTCTTAAAGTACTCCACTACAAGTAAAAGTCCTGTTTTCAACATTGTAATTAAGTAAAAGTACTCATTCTGCAAAGTGGCCCATTGCAGAATTATATAAATTACTATCAGCTAAATGTACTTCAAGTAGTAAAAAAGTACTAGAATTATGCAGAATGGATCTTTCCACAGTATTATTTTATCACGTTTTTAAACATGTAAGAGCATTTTAGTGTCGTCGTTTGTCGATGTGTAATTGAAGGTTAAAGTCCTGATTTTAAAAAGTACTCAGGATTATATGAAGTACTTACTAAGTACTTAAAGTAGTAAAAAAAAGTACTCGTTATGCCGAATGGATATTTCCAAAAATGTATTCTGAAATGTGCAGAATGAGTACTTTTTGTACCTTTAAGTATATTTGGATGCTAATACTTTTGTACATTTTTAAATCAGGGCTTGTAATGGAGTATTTTAAGACCATAGTATTTGTACTTAAACGTCTTCCACCACTGAGGCACATGTGTAAAGTGAAAGGTTGTGTGTGTAAACAACAGATCCCATTGAGCCATGGAGCCTCAGCAGAGGAACAGCTGTCCTGATGGCCTTCAGAGAGCAGCGCTGCGTTGTAAACTGACTTACATCGACTCCATTGAGATGCAGGAGCACATAAAGCCCCGCTGGCAGGAACTGTTGACGTCTGCCGTTTGCTGGTGCTAATTTATGCAGGATTATGCTAATTGGCGGGAGCTGTTGTAGAGCCTCTCACACACAGAGGAATGTCTCTGTAACGGTAGTGTGTGGAAAAGCATGTCAACTAAACTGATTCTGACGGTTTATTTACTGACTCGACACACCTTATCCTTAAGTGATGAGTCAGTAAGCTTAAAGAGGCCCTATTTCCTTCTCCTGTAGTGTTCTTGAACATAGTGACATCCCATCCTATTGGCTAGTGCTCAAAAACATTGTACGTGGTAGGCTAAGGGGCGGGACATGTTTATCAATCACACAACAGGCAGTATGAAGAGCTTTTTGAACATTAGAGCTTGGAGAAATGTCACAGTAGAGACACTACATACTGATATGAACATACAAATGTCCTCTTTAAAGTATCTTCTAGATTCCCACCTTTAGTAAATACCACACGGTGGATTCTGAGATGTAGAAAAACAAAACTTTATTTGAATCCCATGTGACCCCTATTTGCCACAAGCATTGCACAGTATGAAAAAAGAAATCACATCATTGGGCATCATGTCACATTAACTATACACATGGTCCTATAATACATGGAAATGTTTTTTTTGGTGATTTCAGAAAATGCTGTCTTTGTCAGCAAATGCCGAAACAAAAACATCTGTAGTGTTTTAATGTTACAGTCCACTGGCCGTCGTTTCTCCGCTGAGTGATGGGATGGAGGCTCAGACTAAGAACCTGCTACATTGGTCATCTGAAATATCCCTTGATGGGAAAAAAAAGAGTATAAAAAAACAAACAAAAAAGACAGCTAAATAACAAAATAAAAACTATACTTGTACTCATGAAAACATTTACTACAGTAGTGAATATGTTTGTCATAGATGAAGTATGTTTAAGACACTGAGATGACCTTCCTCTGCCTTTAGTGTGCAAACAAACGAGGCAAACCGAGCATGAACTCATCTGTGAAATGTACAACAGTAAACGTGTGCGGACGCGACTCTAACTCCTTCTCCGCTCCCTAAAACGATATAATGGAAAGACGTAAGACAGGCAGCATTTCTCTGATAACATTTTTGGTCCCTGTGTGCAAATAAGATACACATGTAGTAGATAACATACGCATGTATTTGAAATTAATAAACAGCCAAGGCACCTCGATACAGTCAATAAAAAACTCATCAATTTGATTGGTTTACCAAAAATAGAATGATCAGGCTTTCGTGTGGATTTGATCTGCAGATAAAGTCACTGAGGAGACCCCCAAGTCACTGAGGAGACCCCCAAGTCACTGAGGAGACCCCAAGTCACTGAGGAGACCCCAAGTCACTGAGGAGACCCCCAAGTCACTGAGGAGACCCCAAGTCACTGAGGAGACCCCAAGTCACTGAGGAGACCCAAAGTCACTGAGGAGACCCCAAGTCACTGAGGAGACCCCAAGTCACTGAGGAGACCCCAAGTCACTGAGGAGACCCCAATCACTGAGGAGACCCCAAAGTCACTGAGGAGACCCCAAGTCACTGAGGAGACCCCAAAGTCACTGAGGAGACCCCAAGTCACTGAGGAGACCCCAAGTCACTGAGGAGACCCCAAGTCACTGAGGAGACCCCAAGTCACTGAGGAGACCCCAAGTCACTGAGGAGACCCCAAGTCACTGAGGAGACCCCAAGTCACTGAGGAGACCCAAAGTCACTGAGGAGACCCCAAAGTCACTGAGGAGACCCCAAGTCACTGAGGAGACCCAAAGTCACTGAGGAGACCCCCAAGTCACTGAGGAGACCCCAAGTCACTGAGGAGACCCCAAGTCACTGAGGAGACCCCAAGTCACTGAGGAGACCCCAAAGTCACTGAGGAGACCCCAAGTCACTGAGGAGACCCCCAAGTCACTGAGGAGACCCCAAGTCACTGAGGAGACCCAAAGTCACTGAAGAGACCCAAAGTCACTGAGGAGACCCAAAGTCACTGAGGAGACCCCAAGTCACTGAGGAGACCCCAAGTCACTGAGGAGACCCCAAGTCGAGACACAAAGTCACTTTCTTTCCTCTTGTTCTGGCTTTAAGACACCAGCTGTTTGGCCTGCAGCTCCATCTCTGCAGCCCGTTTCAGGGCAACATCCACAAGGAGCTGGAAGCCACTGAAGTCCTGTGTGAGGTCCGGGGGGGGTCGGGGGGGGCGTGTTGAAGAGCCCGCTGCGGGGGCTCAGGTTCCCCTCCATGCCCGTGAGCATGGTGGTAGTGGGGGGGGGGTTTATGGCTCCCTTCGTCATCCTGGCACCGGAGCAGCGCCTGAACCTGCAGCAGCTCAGAGTTCATCATCGTCACCGAGGGGAGGGGCTGCATCGCCGCGGTGACAGTGGTGTGACAGATGACAGACGGGCGAATGGGGAAAAGAGACGGAGACGGAGACGGAGACGAGGAAGTCGGAGACGAGGAAGGCGACGTCATCTTCCTCAGGACTCCTGGGGGGTCGAATATGGAGGGGCTGAGCACCCGCTGGTCGTAGTTCTCCTCCTCCGGACCCCCTGCTGGGCTGCCGTGCTTCGGAGACTGCGAGCTGTCGGAGAAACTGTCCCCCCCTTTGCTGCCTTTCCGTGAGATGGTGAACTGGTTGGGGTCTTTGCCGTCTTTCCGCAGCATCTCTGGGAGGAGCCGCCGCCGAGCGTTAATGAACCAGTTGCACACCTGCAGGAGAGAGAAGAAAACACGCTGTGAGAAAAGTGCACGGATCACTGCGGACACATGCAGGTGCACTACCCCCAGGTAAAGAGTCACACCTGGGGTTTCAATAGAGGAATCTACACTGCGTACACTAGAGGCATGGATCTCACAACATTAGCTTATATAATGTATATTTTGTATATTTTATATTTAATGCTATTTTATTTCTATTGAGATGTTTTTCTTTTAATTTTTATTGTACAATGCCAAACATCCCAAATTGGAATCAAAAAAGTACTTATCTTATGGCTAATGTTGGAGCTATGTATTGCTTTATATTATTTAATAGTTACATATCAATGTTCTTGCTGTTGTTGTTTAAAAGTAAAATTGTGATTCCTGCTGTAGGAGCCATGAACTTACAAAGTGGTACATTGTGTTTTAATAGCTATCAGGTTTGTACTATTGTTGTTGTTTAGGTAATGGTTTGTAATATCACCCTCACCCTCTCTTCCACACACACAGGTGTTTATAATGAGTGCCGACCATGTCCACATGCGAAAACTACAAACCCTCACTGAGACAAAAGAATATAGAAGCAACTGAATGACTAATAAAACAAACCACTTTGTTAGCTTCATGACTCCTACACCTACTCTAAAAAGAGACTCAAAGTAATCTCCTTTGTGCCGCTGTAATCTCAGTGTCTCTCCCTGCAGGCTAGTTGTAACTGGCTCACAGAGACTCCACCATGTAAATGACTCTGCATTGTTCCCAGACAGCTGGGATGGAGGGAGGGAAATTCCTGTCCTGGAAACTGAGCCAAACCCACAGCGAGGGAAACGAACGGGAGAGAGTTTACTCACGGTGTCTCACACTGTTTCAACACCAAGCTGCTTTTGGATGACCTTCAACTCTGTGTTTATGTGTCATGTTGTGTTTGTCATCTCGACAGGAAGTGATTCAGTCCCTTGTGATGTTATGAAAGTGTGTACCTGTAGTGTTGAGAGCTGAGTCTGCTTGGACAGCAGGGCTTTCTCCTGCTCCGAGGGGTAGGCGTTGTATCGGTGCTCGTACAGCCAGTCTCTGAGGATCTGCACCGACTCTTTGGGTAGATTTCCCCGCCGTTTCCTCTTCCCGTTGCTCCCCGAGCTGGACGACAGATCCAGAGGCGCGTCCACGCTGTCCTCGTCGTCCGTCTCGCTGCCCGAAAGCATCATCAAACCTGAGCGAGGAGAAAACACAGCATGAGACAAAAGGATATGGATCCTCTAAGCGCTGTGCCGCAGCCATTCACCAAACACAGGCTGTCTGGGAGGCAGCTGATGTGTCAGAAGCAAGCTGTCAAGTTCAGCCATGTGATTCATATAAGGAGCGAGGAGGGGGAGGGGGAGGAAGAGGGAGGAGGGAGGAAGGGGGGGGGAGACGTCACAAAGGCTGGTCTGATGCTGTGTCAGTTATAAAACCTGCCTCAACAAATACAGCCCGTTTGACTCAAAGCATGCTGGGATAAGTAGCCAGGCTGACCACAAGAAACAGTCCCTGCATGGAGGAGATGTTGTTTCAGAGAGAGGCAGCACTGAGTTTCTTATTTCATTTGGAGTAATCAAAGTCAATCATGATCAAACAGGATTTAGGCCTTTTGGATTACACTGAATGGAAAAGAGAAGGAGGGGGGGGGGGGGGATAAGCCTTCTAATTAACTGCTAACACTTTGATCAGATTTTAAGTCAGGCATTTAGGTTAGTGTTCCTCATATGGTATAAAAAGACTTTTGGATCATGTTATAAAAAGTCCAAATGGCACAACGTAAAAATAAGCACTTTTTCTGTATTATTATTTGTTGTTTGTCACTTTTACGCGTGTCTACAGGCAGTTTACAATGAACAGCAGCACATACGCCATTGAGAGAAGGCAGAAAGTAGATCCAGAGGCTATTTATTCCAGTGTGCTCCGAGGCAAAGTAGTGGGAAAGCAGTCAGAAAGTTCCCAAAGTGTGCGCGGCCAACAGGATGAGGTAATTACGCAGCAGGCTGGAGGAAGGGGGAGGGGAGACCTGTTGCAAATCAGCGTCTCCAGACTAAACAAAAGAACCAGGGCTGCGTGCTTCTTTGTATGCAATTCAAAAGTTTCTACACGCAAAACAGTGAGTTCTCCACAAAACTATCTCCCTCTGAACTGTCCTGCTTTCACACAATGGGCAGAAAGTGAGTTTTAAAGCCACCAAGACGTTGCTTTTGTGAGTTTAAACAACTTGTAAGGGGCTTTCTATTGTGTGAGCTCTGCACCACGAGGTCCCTGAATGTAACTTCCCACAATGGGGTCAGGATGAACACTAGCCTACTTTCGGATTTGGAGACATTTTTTTAAAACAGAAAAGGTGTTTCTGCTCGGAAGACAGTTTAAAGATGCTAGCTATCGATGTATTAGTGGAAATGTAACCCTGCAAACTCCTAAAAACTCACAACAGTCAGCAAACTTTGACTCATAGCATCACTTTGCTCCAACTTCGATACAAATGTAGCCACTTAAATCTGCGTTCAAACTAAAATAAAACCATTCGTTTATTCCAGTTTTCACATTTTACGCGAGCTTTAAAGTTAGCCTAATCACAAGACGACAAGAATGACAGGGAAAACAACACACATGTCGACACAGCCGTGTGTTATTGTGTCAAAACGTGAACAAAACCCAGGTAGAGAAGCAGAAATAATACACAAACCTAGCTTAATGCACTTTTGACAATGCGCCAGCACATGGCAGAAAAAGCCCCTGTCATGTCTGGAGAGGAAACAATAGACTGCATGGTTTGCATATGAGGGGAAACGGCTCTGTTATCCCCCTCTCTCTGCTTATATACACTCAATTCCACTTTATTTCACTTAAAAAGCTTCAAACGTACCTTTTTTCGTCTTCATCTCGGTCCAAAAATGCCCACTTTTTCCCGGTGACGCGCAGAGGGAAATGGTCTTTGTGTGGTGTTTCTCCTCCAGAAATCCACAGCGTGTATCCGAATAACCGAGAATCCTTATTCATGAAAAGGCGCGTGTTTCCCCTCCGGTTTTCTTTTAATAAACCTACTTTGTGCTGGCGGTTACCTGAGATCTGTGCGTCTCTCCAGCCCCTCTCATTGACTGTGTTTGATCCTGGCTGACAGCTATCTTTGACAGCTGCGTGACTCAACCAGAGATCCTCCCACCAAAACCTCTGACATCAGCATGGTGATCCACTGACATGGATACAGTCTGTTCCTGCTGCAGACCCCCCCCCCTAACAAGACGCCATGTATATTAAATTATGAACCGCAGAAAGACGTTGATTTAGGCGGGCACAATGACAACAATAACAACAACAACAACAGGCTGCTGGAGGAGCACTGCGGACCTCGTGGTGACATATCACACAAACCGGTGTAAAACACTCTATCATTGCTACAGGCGATGCGTTTTTAGCAGGCTGTTTGGTGTTTTGAGTGCTAATACGATTAGCTCTTTTCTTTTTGATCTCCCTTCAGTATTTCTGCACATCATGCAGAATTATCTACTGCATTTTCGTGCTTTTTGCAATATTTCCAGTGTTTGTCATCTTAAAACCCGTTTAATCACCATTTAATCGCGGATTTATATCATGTGCACAATACTAATGTGAACACAACTGCACTTTCCTCTCTCATGTTGACACTATATTAGCGGTTATCATTGTATTGCATCCTTTGAGGGACTGAATCACGGTTATCTTGTTGCAGATTGTGATTACTCTCCTGTTTGGTATTCAGCAGGCTAATACCAATTAGCTCTTTTTTATTGTATTTCCCTTCAGTTTTTCTGCACATCATGCAGAATTATCTGCTGCATTTACGTGCTTTATTCAGTATTCCCAGTGTTTATGTCAGGTTAAAATCCATTGTATCACCATATAATCGGGTATAACAAGGCATTATATCGTGTTTACCATCATAATTTAAATACTACTGCACTTGTCGGTCTTATTTCTTAGCGTTTATCGTTTTATTGCATCCTCATAGTGACTGAATCATGTTTCCTTGTGTATTTGTTGTTGATTATTATGATAATCTAACCGACTGTTGCTCCAATTTCTCGCTAAAATGAACAATAATAGCTAAAAAAAAAAACTAAAAACAAAGAAATACGGTTATACGGTAGTGTTATTTGGAGCCAAGCGTCCAGCTGGAGGTTAGAGCAGCGGTTCAGGTTTCTAAAGACAACAGAAGAAGGATCAATGCTCTCATTTGTATTCCCCGCACAGCCCTGCGGCAGCTGCTGCTGGAGCCTCTGCAGCTATCAGACAGGAGTCGGCTCTATATGTGGGGAAATGGCGCCCACGTGTGGCTGTTCGTGGTACTGCACCCACTGCAATACCATTTGATAAACACAGGACGCCCTCTGGTGGTTGTTGTTGTGTAATGCAACTCAATTTGACGTTTATAATGAACAATACCTACAGGCCTAAGGTAAACAAAAAAAGAGAGATAGTTTGAAATAACAAAACATCACCAAAAAATTATATTTCGTCCACTTCTGAAATAATAAATTGCTTAAATGTCTTCACTAAAGAGGCCCATGTCATTATCTAAGTAAAGAGGGTGACTTTAAAAATGTACTGAGTTACAATTACTAGTTATCTTAAAATGTTTTATCTAATCTGGGGATAAAAACGTAAGTGTATAATGTAAGACAACAGAACAATGTTACCTTATAAAAGAAGAAACCAATATATTTCCTACCTACTGAACAAATGAAGCAAAGAAAGTGAACACCATGAAGCAGATTGAGGCAGTAGGCGTACAGATTCACACTTAAAGTATTACAGAACAGTTCTTGGTTTTTAATTAAAGGTTTACTCTAAAGCTTCATAACCGATTGAACAGCGGTAGCTTATATTAAGCCCTCACAGTGATTGTGTTTCGACCAGCTGAAACAGTCAATGTTATAAATAGAGACTGAGCAGGTTAGGCATGCAGCGGCCTGCTGTTGTGCCAAGCGCACATATTTTGTGCCATTTTTGGTTTAGTATACAGCCTCTGACTGTCTGAGAGGCTTAAAGACACAGCGAGAAAGAACACAGGAGAATTTGCCCTCAGAAGAATAGAGATTAACTTGGGAAACTTTGCTATTTTCAGACCAAACTAAGAAGGAATGCTTGTATACCAACACTTTACTGCAGGCAAAACTGTGTTTAACACTTAAAATGATTATTATATTAATACGTTTTTAGTGTTTTATAAGAAGGGCTAGATCTAATTGTATGGATTTTAGTTGTAGTACGAGTTAATTGTGTCTAGAAATACATTATTTTTCATTATTAGTTCCCCCTAAAGTCCAAATATGAACTAATGAAACGTTTTTCTCAAAGTTAATTGAGTAATTAGGAGGTATAATGAGTTTATTTAGATTATTTAACGTCCTTTTCATACTTTCCAAACCTAATTACCTTTGCTTTTGTCCAAATGTACGTTTTAATGGCCGTTTTTATATGCTTATAAAAAACGTTTGCCACTTTCTTCCCCTATTTTTGTGTTTTTTTTGGTGCTATTTCAAGGCATTTCAGTTTTTCACATCATCCTAGAAATCAGTGGACTGTGACACATCAAACCCCTCACATTAGTGGAGAGCTCAAACTCTGACGCACTGACCTCAGATTGGAGAGCTGCGTCAACGCGCATACCAACAGCATGAAGGCAACCGGAAGTTAGGCTGTTTAGATTTTCAAAATAACTTTGTGTATATAGCACTTTTCATACCCAAAGGTAACTCTCAGTGCTTTACAAACCAAACACAGAGACAATTAAAACCAATTCTTATCTCCACCTTCACTAGAGTAATATCTTTGATAAAAAAAACACTTAACACAGGACTCATTAAAACAGGATGAAAACGTATCATACATTTACAAAATTAAGAAAAAATGACGTGTGACATATTTGTATGCATTTTATTTTGACAACCAAACGGAAATAGCATGTGTTTCATGGTGTCTAACTTGACCCAGTTGATCAGACAGTGTTTTGTTACGGTTAAGTCTAAAATTAGGGAGGCGCCCCAACAGCAAATGACGCAACAGTCTAAACCTGCTCGTCTGAGTGTGAATGGTGTCGGGACTCAGGACCATGGAGACCACAACTCCGCTGTTGTTGATGTCATGGAGGGTATTTTTAGATGTTGTTGTCATGTTTCTGTAACAGCCGTTCAGTATAAAGGACTCCTTCAAGATGCAGCTGTACAACAGTGCGCTCACACACTACCCGAGGTCGTCTCACAAAGTTACCATAACTTTACTGACTGGGTCTGAGCGACTGAACTCCTCTGACGCACAAAAACCAGGATTTACGCACCAAAGCGCCACTTCTCCAAACACTGATCCGGTGAGAGACTCTTCCGCAAAAATGCCTGCGTTTTCCTGCTACGAAGCTTCATCAATGAGGCCGGTTTACTTTACCTCCACTGCTGAGATATCCATCCGCAGACCTGATGGAGTGGAGAGGTCTGTGCCTCTCCATGTCGTGAGGGAAACCAAGACCAAACCTCCTGTCTCTCCAAATGGTGACAGTTTCCTGTGTGGTGACTCTGATGTGATTGAGGACCTGATAGATCATCTGAGGAACGGCAGGGGTGAGCTTTTCTCTGACTGCAAACAGCTGGTTCGAGATCAAACGCACCACATCTGCAGAAAAGACAACCGGAGGGAGTTTGGGAATTCAAGCGAGGATGACACCGTTTCTCAATCTCCTGTCAGAAGCAATGGATGGTCCTTTCATGAGGAGGAAGTAGTTCCCTTTAGAGAAGATCCTCCTAAAGACCTCATCCTGGATGATTTTAAGGATCTGAGCAATGGCATGCCAGCATCCGATGAGAAACGGGGCTTTGAGCTCAGCGTCCTACAGGACTCCCCTCCACAGAAGCACCAAGAAACACCAGAAACAGGCAACAAAGTGACCCGGTACCTGGCCGAAGTGGAGAAACAGAACAAGTATCTCCAAGGGGAACACAAGTACAGGTACCACATCATTCCAGATGGCAACTGCCTGTACAGGGCGGTGTGCAAAGCCACCTTCGGGGACCAGTCGAGGCACGGGGAGCTCAGGGAGCAGACGGTGCACCACATCGCCGACCACCTGGAGGAGTTCAACCCCATCATCGAGGGAGATGTCGGGGAGTTCCTCATCAACGCGGCACAGGATGGCGCGTGGGCCGGATACCCTGAACTGCTCGCCATGAGCCAGATGCTCGACGTCAACATGCACCTGACGACAGGGGGGAGTCTGGAGAGCCCCACCGTGTCCACCATGGTGCACTATCTCGGGGAGGAGGACGTGTCCAAAGTGTCCATCTGGCTGAGTTGGCTGAGTAACGGGCACTACGACGTCCTGCTGGATAAGAGTCTCCAAAACCCAGAGTACGAGGAGTGGTGCAGACTCTCTCAGATGCAGAGGAAACGAGACGAGGAGCTGGCGAAGTCCATGGCCGCCTCGCTGTCCAAAATGTACATTGAGCAAAATGGATGTGCGTGAGAGAGTTAAAGGACAGATGATCCTGCTTGGGTTCTAAATGCTTGAAATTATTTTTTTATAAGGTTTATATCATAGGGGGGAAAGGAAGTGCAGTGCACATACTTTGGTTTTGTATAATGCCGACTTATTGGCAGTGGTTTGAAAGTGTGTGTGATGGTTTGGGTTATGTTGGACGCGTATTTATTGGCCTTTTGTTGGCAGACTGGATATTTTTCTATCATGTTTGTGCTTCATAGACAGACAGATCTAGTTTGCTTTGTGTCTCTATAGCTACTGTTTAATACTCTCTTTTGCACAAAAGTCACATCAGACAAGTCCAGAGAGTTTGAGTTGTGCCTATTGTTTCTATTATTCCAGTTTCTTTTTCTAGGCTTTTGACAAAATATCACAAATAAAGTTTTGAGGAAACCTGATTGGATGTCATGTTTGATTTCAATGCTTCAATTCTAATCCCAAACGTCATCTTGGATGCTTTGCTGTAATGGGATCCTTATATTACATTAAATTACAGCTATCACCCTCGTCTCCTGCTGTCTTTATAACATGCAGTGACTCAGGAGCCATTCATTCAGGTCAGGCTGCAGGATTAGTGACTGGTTTCCTACGCAGATCACTTCCGATGAGTCAAACCTATATCGAAAG